CTGGGTGACTTTGGACCAATCACCAGGAGACGGTGAGTTCTAGTCCCGCCTTAGGCATGAAAGAAGATTGGGCAACTTTGGCCAATCACTATGTGACTGTGAGTTCTAGTCCCGCCTTAGGCATGAAAGCTGGCTGGGTGACTTTGAACCAATCACCAGGAGACGGTGAGTTCTAGTCCCACCATAGGCATGGAAGCCAGCTGGGTGACTTTGGGCCAATCACCAGGAGACAGTGAGTTCTAGTCCCGCCTTAGGCATGAAAGCTGGCTGGGTGACTTTGGACCAATCACCAGGAAACGGTGAGTTCTAGTCCCGCCTTAGGCATAAAAGCCAGTTGGGTGACTTTAGGCCAATCACCAGGAGACAGTGAGTTCTAGTCCAGTCGTAGGCATGAAAGTCAGCTGGGTAATTTTGGGCCAATCCCCAGGAGACAGTGAGTTCTAGTCCCGCCTTACCCCTTAAAGAATAAAAGAAGAATAAAAAGAGGACTGTGATGAACCTTACCGGTATTCTCTCATCTATATTGAGCTCGCTGTAATTGGAAGCTTGCAATTCCTCTTCCAAACTGCTCTGCAACTTGTTCAAAGCCGGAGAAGATCTGGAAGACTGTCTGGACGACAGCCTCAAATCCGTACAGCTGTCCATTCTGGAATCGGTCCCTTGGTTTAAATGATCCGGGGAAAGCTCTCGAAAATAATCCATCCTCGTTTGACTGGCACGAAACCCGCAGCCCGACAATTCTCTCGTCTTCTCTTGGGGGCCACCCAATTTTTCTTTGCTCCCCTCAAGCGAGCTGGTTTCCCCTCGCAGGAGCTCGGCCACCCTTCTGCTCCGAATAAGGGGATCCGAATGGCTCCCCGTACTAACACTTTCCTCGTCACTGGAGGCCGTTACAAAGACGGGCACAGCTTTGTAACATCGGTGAAGGGCGGCTTCCTCCGCCGCGACCGTCGGCTTGAGCCGAGAGTCCGTTGAAACATTGGCGCAGACGTCCGCTCGCTGAAGAGCATCACTGGGTCTGGTTTCGCTCCCGAGGTCCGTCCTCGAAATCTCGCGGCTGAGGGCGCTCACCGAGGTTTCCGACTGCGAGCGGGTAAAGGGCAAGGCAGGCGGAGGGACCTCTTTTGGGGAGCTGTGAAGATCGATCATGGAGCTCGGCCCATAAAAAGAGGCAGCTTTGAGGTCAGCTAGACTCTGCTGCTTGAGCAGGATGCGGTTCAAGGAATCGGCGATTGCGCTGTAGGCCTTCCGCATGGGGGAGACGCCCCCAGAGCCAGGTGCAGGGGTACCCAAACCAGGTACTGCTGACACGTCGGGCAGTCTCTCAGCCGAAGAGCTCAGGTGCCACGCTCCCACCTTCTCCATGAAATTCAGAGAAGGCATGGACTGAATCCGGCCTTTCAGAGGCTGCAGAACGGTAAAACCGTCGCTCTTTTCATTTGGTAAGCCCGGGGCGCCACGCGACGTAAAACTCTCCTTCGTGGGAAACGAGCAAGGGTTTCCACGAGGCTCCACCGTCAAAGAATTGCACGCCTTGGCCTGCGAGGTCTTTGACATCTCTTCGTGCAAGCAAGAAAGAGGACGTTGGAATCCTGATCGGGATGGGAATGCCGTGCCGGGCGCGTCGCGGTTCAAGCTTCTGGTTGTCCAAAAACCAGGGGTGGAATGATGAATCGGGTGAGCCAGATGTGTAACGAAGGACGCCTCGTCAAAAGGAGAGATTCCCGTATATCTGTGCTCTCTCTCTACGTTCCCGTCAGAGAGCGTTAGTTCGTTTTGGCTCACGCTGGTTAGGATGTCTTTCCCGGTGTCCGTCCGCTCCCTGACATCTGCGGCCGCCGGGACCGGCTGGAAGGATGACGAAGCACGAGGTTTATTCCCGACCAGAGCCGGTGTCAATTTTCGTTGGTCTTCTTCGGCCCCACTTTGAAATTTCTCGCCCGCCCGCTGGTGAGTCGGCGCCAGGGATCTTTCGGGAATCACGGAAGAATCCAGCGAACTAAACGGATGAGCTCCGGAGGACACCAAGGCGGGAGAAAAGTTTGCTGAGAAAGCTCCCGGATCGCTGGCACGTCTCCAGGGCTTCCCCGCTGCCTCTGTCAAGGGCCGGGCCAACTCGGGGGGAGGCGTGGTTTGGCCTTTCGACTGGCGTGGTTCTAGCATCAATTGGGGCGCGCTTTCTGACAGATCCACATTCACCGTCAGCCGTTGAAGCTCATTTTCTCCCGGATCCTTTCCCGAGCCGCTTTTACAAGAAGAACCTTCGGAAGATAAGAAGCCGCCGCGCTTGGGTAAGCCCATCTCGTCATCCAACAAGTCGAGGAGGAGAGGAGCTGGCAGGCTGTTGTCCAAAAGGAACAAATCCTGGCCGGGCGTAGCTTTCCAACTTTCGTCCGGAAGACGCTCCGTGGCCAGGGGTTGGTTTGGCCACGTCGGTGGAAGCGGCCGACGTGAAGTCTCCTCCTTGGGGTCCAGGGTTTTGGCACGAAGGTCAGCACGAAGCATAGGCCGATTCTCCGACTGGGCAGGTACGGGCAAATCAGGAAAAATCAGAGGGTGTTGCGATAAGCAGCTGCCCAGGGTGGTGTTGTTGGGAACCGTGAGGCTGAAAGCCAGGGGATGCTGCGAGAGGGATGCCTCCCGGGAGGATTCTGGGCCAACATCTTGGGATGCCAGTTGCACGCTTTGGCCGATCAGCAAATGTGCCAAGGGTCTCTCGGCGGCTGTGGTGGAAACATCCGGAGTTGCCCTGGAAACGGAAAGGAGGCAAAAGAGCCTGTATTACAGTCCGACGACAACGTCAAAGGGAAATCGTTTCTGGACACACACACACACCCCAAGCTACAAGGTTTAGGTGGAGGGGGAGGTCCTTGGGGCTCTCTGAGCTTGGTGGTTTTCTTTGCAGGTGTTTTGTGACCCAACTAGGTCAGATCTTCCGTGCTCAGAGGGAATAGGGAGGAGGAGGAGGAGCGGGGGTAGGAGGAGGTCTGTGGGGTCCTTGGGGCTCTCTGAACTTGCTGAATTTCTTGCAGACGTTTCATGACCCAATCAGGTAATATCATCAATGCTAGAAGGGAGTGGGGTTTGCAGGGAGGAGGAGGAGGAGGAGGGGGAGGGGGGAGGAGGAGGAGGAGAGCTGGGAGGTCCTTGGTGCTCTCTGCGCTTGGTTTTCTTCCAGACGTTTCATTACCAAAACAACTAACATCATCAATGCTAGAAGGGAGTGGTTTTCCTCTCTATATATTGTCCTGTCAATATTATTGAGAGTATTCTTGATAGTTCCTTGGTGGTGACAGGCAACCACTGTATACAAACAGAGAGCAATCCCTACTCCCTTCTAACACTGATGATGTTCCCTACTTGGGTCATGAAACGCCTGCAAGAAAGCCACCCAGCTCAGAGAGCGCCAGAGACCCCAGAATTCAACCCTGAGCTACACGTCTTCTCTTCCTGCTGGTAAGCCACGATCTAGAAAGGATTTAAACCTAGCCATGGTTAAATCAAACCAGACCAACCTTTGTCTGAAACCCAACAGGTGGGGGGGGAGTTTAGCCTTACCTCAAGGGAGCAAAATCCAAGCCTGTCGGCTGAAAGACGGTCTCGTTGAAGAAAGTCTGGCCTTGAGTGGCGTTTGTCGTCAGCAGTGGGAGGTTGGGAGAAAGTTGGCTATCCGCCATCTCTGCAAAGATCACAATTAGCAGGATGATTAAAAGGAAACGGCCCCGCTGGCTAATCAACACAACTTACACAGATGCTCCTTGGCTAACAACGGTTCCTTTAGTAAACCGTATGAAGCTACAGCATCGCGGAAGGAAGAAGGGGAACTTAGGACCGTTTTTCACACTTACGACCGTTGCAGGATCCTCAGGGTCACGGGATCAAAATTCAAACACTTGGCAACAGGCTCGTAGTTATGACAGTCGCAGTGTCCCAGGGTCACCTGACCCCCTCAGGCAACCTGCTGGCGAACAAAGTCAACCGGGAGGCTACAACGGTCATTAAGTGTGAAAAACGGTCATAAGTCGCTTTTGGGCAGCGTCCGTTCGAGCGGTCCCTAAATGAATGTTAAATGGAGGACTGTCTTTACTACATAGCCCAGGTGGGGAAGGACCATCCAAACCATCAAGTGATCCCCAACTGAAAATCCAAACTGTTAACTCCAAGCTAAGGATAAACTGAGCCAAAGCCGGCTACAAAGAAGTTAAAATACAAAGCATCGGGGCGAAGGTGGTATGTAGCTTCCAGGATCTCCTTTAAAAAATAAATAAATTCTAAAATATCTGTGTGTTATGACTCCCCTTCAAAATTCCAACGAACAAAACAGAAAGCAGCCGTTTCAAATTAAATCAAACAGAAAGAAGTCTTACAAGATAACGACTGGCAGGAAGCTCAATCCACAGCATAAATCTTTACTCAAATAAGTCACTTTGTTCCTATCAAAATTTACCAGCCCAGCTGTGTCCTTTTATACTCATTGAGGCAAGGTGCTAATTTACTGACTCGCTCTCCTCATTCGCTCCAGCTGATTTTGCCTTCTCAACCGTCTTCTATTTTTTTACATTTAACCACAAATTTTCCAAGTTCTCATCTCCACTAGAAGACTCTCTCAAAACTTCCCTGTCAGCCATTCCCGGCTGTTGATCAGAGAAGGAACCAGAGGAGGTCAAAGGTCCTGACAATTCTAATACATCAGGTCTGTCATCCTTTGTCACGTCCATCTCCTCATCCTGGTTATCAGTCCAATCACTGAGCCAGGCCGGCTCATATTTTTCTGCCATGACCTCCTCACTTGAACTCATATCAGTCACAGGAGCTGAATCCAAGCCCGGAGCCACAACATCTGTGTATTATAGAATCCAAATTTAACTCCCTTAGTCATGCTTTTTAAAGGGGTTTTGCTTAGGATCGCTTACAACCGTTCTGGTGCTATAGCATTATCTTATCTATTTTAATTCTCCGGGGACCCTACCTCATTTTTGTGGGCATGTGCGACTAATTTTTTTTTGTTTTAAAGGATCCAAAATGTCAAGCTAGATTCTTGCCTACGCTTCTCGCCTCCCCTTCCTCCAACTCTCCAGGAAGTAGTTTTTTCCGGCATTGGCCAAATTCCTGATGATGTCCCAGGTAGTTCCGGGCATGCATTTATTTCTTTGAAGCCTAAAAGGAGGTATTTCAAAGGAAATCGAAGTCGCCCACTGGCAGCCCAGAGATGCCCTTGCAAACGAGCGAGCCCCCTACCAGTCTCATTCCGCGTTTCTGAACCTGGGCCGCTTTCGGATACTCGGCTGGCTGGGGAATTCTGGGAGTTGGAGTCCACCACATCTTAAAATGGCGAAGGTTCTGAAACACTGGTTTACTGATTGAATGGTCATTGAAGCCATGCCATGCCATTCTGTGTTTTATAGTATTTTATCTATTCTAGTCTATTCTATTCCATGCCATATATTCGGTTCTGTTTGGTCCCAGTCTGATCCATTCCATTCTATTCCCTTTCATTCCATTCCATTTTTTCTATTCCATTCCATATATTCTGTTTTGTTCCGTTCGGTTCTGATCCATTCCACTCCACTCTATTCCTTTTCATTCCATT